CTGCTGTGGCCTGGCCTGTGTAGGGTCAGATGCTTTAGGGCATCGTTCCCACTGTCTGAAGGCAGTTGGCATCCAGGCAGAAGCGCTTGAGGTGAAGGCTCAGTGCATCAGTGATGGTAATTCTGCTGCCGATGCTGTCAGGCAGTTGCAAACTGGCTCTGCTTCGTCTCATCATCTGAGGATTAAGGGAGTTTATCTCAATTCACATCGAGATTACAAATCAGATTAGATTCTCAGCTTACTTGAGCCATATGGAGCTTGAAGCAAATCTGATATTGAGCACCCTCACTGCATTAGCAAGCCTGCTTTGCAAAGCTGTGCCTGAAACCTGTAATGGCATCCAAGTCCTCCAGCCCTGGTGCGAGGAACACTTCTCCATGTGAGCTTCTTACTCTGTTCAAATCTTTCCAGGAGGATGCTATGAGGATTAATTAGTTAATGTTTATCAAGTGCTGTGAAGCTGCAAAGTGTTATTTAAGTGCTGTCTTTTTTTATCAGTCGGGACTTGGTTCTGTTTCCACCTACACTGGTTTTGGATTTGGGTAAATCCATGCATTTCATGGTTCCCAGTGTGTGTTTCTCAGTGCAATAGAGTTCCCATTGACTGTGGTGCAGATGTCTTGGTCCATGCCACTGGAAATTTGGGTTTGCTCCAAGGCTCTCCAGTCCTGCAGTGGCAGGCAGCTCATGGTGTTGTGCTCAGTGCCGCTTAGGATGGGGAAGGAGGTTTCCATTGGTGTCCAAGAGGAGCAGCAGCTTCTGGTGCTTTTTTGCTGATGCATTTTAGTGCCAACTGCAGGAAATGTAGAGATGCACTGATTTATCCCATGCATGTGTTATTTGAGCTTGGTCTCCTTACAGCTAAAACCTAAGGTATAGATTGCCAGGAGCAGGTTTGCAAAGGGTCACTTGATGAGGCTTCCTCCAGAGGAACGTGTGCAGGAAGTGGTTTGTTATCCTGGTTTTCATGTTTATTAATAAAGCCAGACATCAGATTCTGTATACATGAGGGGACAGGGTGAAGCACATCAACTGGAAGTGTTAAATGTAGTGCCAGAAGGTCTGAAATTCCACCACTGTACGCCCATAAATCTCGCTACAAGCATCCTGCCCTAACTGAACGCCTTGGCTGGGGATCGTGGTGTGCATTTGTGCTAAATATCACTTTTCGAGAAGTGGGAATGTGGGTTTTGGGACTGGAGCTGGAGAGAAGTGGGAGAAAGGCACGCGAAGCATGAGTGATCGCACTCCTAGGGAAGAAAGCATGGGAGGGAGTGGAGCAGCACACGCTGGCAGGAGGCTCTGTCGGGCGGCACCGCCTGCCTCGTGCTTGGCACTGGTGCTGGGTTTAGTGGAATACTAAAAATAGGGGTTTCCTTTCCCGTTACCTGCTGGGAAGCTCTGGGGATGCTGTCTGGCGTGGTCTGTAAATGCCTTTAATCATTAGGAAGGCAGCAGAGAAAAACATGGTGCTGTAAGAGGAGGTGGCGTGTTGGGGAGCGCAACACAGCGGGCACTTGGGGGAGGTCTTCATCTGTAGCCACATAAGCCTGAAAACGTGGGACTTCTCTCTTTGAAAATAGCTAAGCCTTGTCACCGTGCTCTTTGAAAGCATGGGGTGGAGGTGGTCCTGTGTTTCAGCAGCCTCAGAGCCTGCCACAAACAAGGGCAAGTAGTCTGTAAAGAGCTTTCTAACCTGTGTGCACCACGGGCTGTAAGGAGGGGGAAGAACAGCTCATGGTTTAGTCCAGGATTTTGACATTTTCCTGCTTTTAATAAGCAGATAAGTTAATCCCTGAGGAATGACTGGTAGCCTTTACAGTGTTCTTATAGCGACAGGTGTTAGATAAGAGATTTGGGCAGGATATTTTTAAATAAATACGTTTTGGAAAGCTATGTCTAAGCTGTGATTTTGCTGCTAAGGAAGGAATGCTGATGGACGTCCTGTCAACCAAGGATCATATCTGTTCCCCGAGAGCTAGTGCTGAACAAAGCTGTGTGGATGGCTTCCTTGAAAAGTTGTAGAAATACCAGAACCCTGGGGAGGATGGATAGCAGTCTTATCCATTAGTTCAACATCTTGAATTGCTGGTATTGGGAACATATTTGTGCACAATCCTGGAGCTCTCCGTGGTCTTCAAGGGTGTCTCCATGAAGTTTGACTCTTTGAACGTTGTCTCTTTGAGCATTATCTCCATAAGTGCTGACTCCTTCAATGCTGACTCCTTGGACATTGTCTCTTTGAAGGTTGTTTCCATGAAGGTTGTCTCCCTGGAGCATGGACTGATCTGCCTTGCTGGAAGCTCACACCAGCCATAGACTGGAGCAGCTTGACCATCATTGCCTATTTGTGAAGTCTGCTAGTGATGCTCCAGCTCTGCTGCACCCTCATCCTTAGGCTTTTGCTGTGAATCCATGCACGATTTGCTTCTTGCACCCAAATTTGAACGGTGGCAGAATCACTATATAGCTTTGAGTCGGTAATACACAGCAAGATATAAAGGAAGATCATCTGTAAGAGAAGACTCGTTCTGTATAAGCTATGTTTAGAGATGATGGACCCAATTCTGACATAAATTGCTCACAAATCTGGAGTTGGGTGAAGATGCTCTGGATCCATGCTACTGTAAAAGAGATCAAAATCTGGCTGCTTCCCTAAAATGGCCAGAAAGAGCATGAATGAATCCCCAGCAAAGCAGGGACGTGCTCGGAAATGAGCCCCCAGCTGGCACGGCTCAGCGTGCTGGAGCTGCTGAGAGCTGCTGCAGGCAGTGATGAATTAGAGGATAAAGAAGTGAAAATGAGCTGGCAGAATCTTTAGGTGACTCATCAGGTGCATCTTGTAAAGTCTCTTTCTGAGAAGTAATGAAATCGCATGTTCTAACAATATTTGCACTGCAGTGGGGAAATGCATAAATATTGGGATCAATTAATGAAATTAGATAACTTGACCAAAAAAGCCAATAACGCTGGCTCAGAAACCATCCCTCTTCCTTTTTGCTAGTCCCCATGCTTGCAGTTGGAGAGGAAAATCTTGTGGTTTGGTTTCATAGCTAAGCCAGCCAAGACGTGGCCAGGCACAGAGTGACTTGGGTCCTCAAGCTGATGGGGTGAGTGTCCTCACATGGCCTCCCACCCTTTGGTTTTGGGGTTGGTGAAGGCAGATCCACCTTGTGGCTGCTGACCATGTAGGTTGCCTTGTCACGTTGTCATCTGTAAAATGGGGAATAGCATTTTTCCTTAAAAAGGGAGGTTATTTTTAGGAAAGAGATGGATGTGTGCATCAGCCTGTGACATTTAGGGGCTCCAGGAACTCATTGCACGTGGTGACTTTCATCACAGAGTTCCAGATCTGCAGTGAGAGCTGAATTCAGAGTAATACAGAATAGAAATAGAATCACAGAATCATTAAAGAACTGTAAGATCACCAAACCCAGCCCCGTCTCATCCCCACCATGCCCATAACCACGTCCCTCAGTGCCACATCTCCATGGTTCTGGAGCACTTCCAGGGATGGTGACCCCACCATTTCCCTGGGCAGCCCATGCCAATGCATTACCCCTCTTTCTGAGAACAAATTCTTCCTAATATCCAACCTGAACCTCCCCTGGGCAACTTGAGTCCATGACCTCTTGTCCTGTTTCGTTACCTCTTGTGGCTGCTGGTATCAGTGGGACAATTTCTGCTCTTTATAATGGAATAATTATCTTATTTCAGAAGTCTTCTCGTGGATTTGTACTTGGGGAAGGTACTAATGCATAGAGAAAGAAGAATGGCAGAACCGAGCTTAACTGTGCTGTAAAACTAAAGCATGAATGCCTGGATCTCTGCATCGGGCAATGGAGGAGCGCAAGCTCTCTGAGCAGAAGAGCTCTTGCTATCTTTGGATCCATCCACTGCAAGAGCAGATCTCGTCAGGTTAGCCTCCCCTAGGCCTGGCACTGGCACAACTGTTGTTGGAATGATTTGTCTGCTTTCTGGCGTCCTCGTTTTAAGAGGATGTTGACAAATTGGAAAGAGCTAAAAGAGCCACGAGGGTGGTTAAAAGATTGGCAAATGTGCCTGGCCAAGGAGGCAGCCAGGCTCCTAGCTCTGCTGTTCTATTTTTTTCCTTTAAGTGAAGGTTAAAGGGGGGTTTAGCAGCTCCGGGTACCTGTGTGAAGAATGCCAGCAGACAGCTCTGAAGGCTGTCAGACAGAGGAGCAGCACCAGTGGCTGGGAGCCAAAGCCTGGCCGTGGCTGGAAGGTAGAACAGCTTTTAATAGGAAGGGCACTTTAACTGTTTGGATATTTTATGTGAGTCCTGTTTTGTTTGGCCATCTCTGGAACGTGTATGTTGATACCTAAATATACATCTCACGTGCATCTTCTCTGCCCAGACATGTTATGGATGCTCCATCCACGGAGGTACTCAAGGGCAGGGTGGATGAGGCTGTAAGCAGCATCATCTGGTGCCTGTTTTAGTGGTTGACAACGCTGTCTGCATCAAGGCTTGGAACTCATTGAAGTCCTTCCAACCTAAGCCGTTCTATGACTCTGATTCTTCAATTCTGTGATTCTGTGAAAATGGGGATGTTTTTCTTCCAGATAACCATAAGCCATGCAGTGTTAGTGGTCCCCTCTCCATCACCTCTATCTGTAATCATGCACGCTCTTCAGCTTCTGTTATTCCTTGGTGCCCAAAGATCTCAGCTGTCTGAGCCAGATTTGAAGTGTTTTGATGCCCAGTTGCAGTCAGTAAGACAATCTCTGGTTTGTTAAAGCTTGTGGCTGCTGTTCTTTCCTATTGTCCAATGTACAAAGCATAAGTTTTCAACCCAGCACCTTGCTGGCCACTCAAATTGGAAAGAGCTCAGTCTGTAAAAGCGCTTTCAGTCCAGGACAGTACTGAAAATTTCCTGCTGCAGCTTCAAGGCAGCCCCCAGTGATGAATATTTGGGGGTTGGCGTGAGACTTGGGAAAGCCTTTGCTAACTGTTATGCTCTCTTTTGTTTTTCTAGCTGTGGGGAGCTCAAAAAATAAAGCAGGTAATGTGCTTTTTTCTATGTCCTGCCTGCTCGGGGCTGCTGCTTTCTCCCTTTTTGCTGAGTGATGCTGTCCTATCCATTCCTAGCTGCCAGTTGCTGGTTTCCTTTATTGCAGACATGTAAATGCAGCGAGTGCTGCCACCCAAGAGTCTGATTTTTATTTTTATTTTTTATCTTTTCACTGTATTTCTATATTTTGACATCTTCATTTTCTTCCTCCTGTCTAATCAAGAGCTTTCTTGTCCTTCAGGAATAGTTTGGTAGTTTTTCTGACTGTGGCATACCTCCTCCTGTAGACTCATGCTGGTGAATCTGACCTCTTTGTAACAAAAAAAATGGTAAAATTGCAGCTTCATTGCCCTCATCAGCAGAGCAGAATTAGGATTTCCATTGAATTTGGGCTGTCCATGGCCATGGGGTTGGCCAAGGAGATACAGACACAAGGGATGAACCTGCTAGAGAATTTCATGTGGATGGATCCCCATGGTGCTGTTCACACCTGCACGCTTTTTATCCCACCTCAGCCACATTCTGAAGCAACATTTCTGTATTTCAGGCTAAATTTCCGTATCATCTCCTACCTTATTACTTAAGGAGATGGGAAGACAGCAATAGGAGGAGGTGTGGGACAGGAGGAGGGGATTTGGGGCAGCAAGAGGGGGTTGGGACAGCTCTTGGAAGCAGTAGAGGTGATATCCTTGCACAGCTCCAGCATTCCTACGCTGTTACTCTGCCCTCACTATGGCTGTTTGCTGATTATTTTGCAGGCCATCATCCATCCTGACACAAACGAGACCATCTTCATGCCTTTCAGAATGTCAGGTACAGTATGTCCTACTCAAGCAGTCAATTTCAGTGGGAATTTGTACAAAAGTGTGTCTTTTTTTCCTCCTTTTCTTTTTCTTTTTTGGTGTTATATCTTGAAGCATTTAAACCAGATGCTGGAAGTAGTCCAAGCACCCAAATCCCTTAGAAATCAAGCTGATTTGGGACCCTCAATACCTGCCTGAGGTCTAGTGCTTAATATTTCCCTCTCCTTGTCAAGATGCTATCCTTTCTGGTATCCATTACCATAATGATGATTTTAACTCTCTAGTAAACAGCCGAACTTGAGGGTTTGAGTGCAGCTTTGGTCCTTTCCCCAAACTCTGGGAGCTGTGGGAGGGGTTGCATCCCTCTTTTATAGGAGGGATAGGACCAACTCCTTAGGATCCATTCCATTAGTAGGGCGCACAGGGAGCGTCTTCACTGGATAAAGCAGCAGAACCAGAGGGGAAAATAATGGGGCTGGTGGGTTTTGTTCTTTTTCTTTGAAAAAGGTTGAGTTTGAGGGTGAAGCATGGGGACAAAAAGCCCAGGACCCACTCCTCTGCTGCCTTATTCAGTATTTTTAGACAAATGTTTTGTCTCATGGGTCACTGCCCCTTCTGACTGTGAATTGGATCCATGAGGTGTGTAATTCAGTAACACTGACAAAATGCTGAGACCTTCCGGTGGAAGTCATAGAGATGGGTTATAATTAGCACAGAAATTGGCAATCTTAGCAGAGGAAAAATGTGAAGCCTTTGATTTCTGTGGTGCTTAACAAGATTTGGGGTAAAGCCTTCTCTAGGGCAGAAAGCTCTATCTTATACCCCATCCCTGCAGGCATTCAAGGCCAGGCTGGATGTGGCTCTGGGCAGCCTGGTCTGCTGGTTGGCCACCCAGCACATAGCAGGAGGGTTGGAACTGGATGCTCCTTGTGGTCCTTTTCAACCCAGGCCATTCTGTGATAACTGTGATTAAAACAGTCGCTAGGTGTGCCTTGTACCCTGAACCCATAGCACTGTTAGATTTATTAGGCTTGATGCCTTTTGCAGCCCAAAATGACGTGTTAGAATGCATGAATCTCTCTTTTTTTCTTAATTTTCCTAATAGGTTACATTCCCTTTGGAACACCCATTGTAAGTATTTTACTGTCCCTCTGTGCTTTGGTTGCGAGTAACAGAGAATGCATTTTTTAACACTCACGCACAATTCTCCAAGCTGCACCTTGCTGCCTTGCTGCAGATTCACACCAGCTTCACGCCTTCCCCATCATCTACCTGTGCCATGTGTGCTCCGGGCCGGCCGTCCATTCAGCAGCATCCTCCTGCTGCTTTCTGCAACATCCTCATCTTTGTGTTTCCAGCGGGGAAAGGGAAGACTGGGAGGAGCTCACACTGCCTTCTGCAGCTCGTGGATCTGCCTTTGGGGGCATTTATGCCATTTGCACATTTTGCGAGTCACTTCCCAGCCGTGGCAAGCGCAGGGAGCTGGAGGCCAGCGTCTCATTTCCTGGTCTTCATTAATTAAAACGGCAAGGGCTTCGTGCTGAGGGTGTTCTTCATTTTGTTACTGTGAAATTTGTAAGCATTTGGGTGCTGTTGACAGCCAAAGCCAGAACGGAGATAACTCTGCATTCCTTGTCTTCAGAGCAGCAAATATTAATTAACCCCACTTTGTGAACGGGGAAACTGGGGTGCGAGGCTTTGTCCAAAACCACACAAGCTGGTGCCAAAAGGCTGAGCAAATCCAGCTTGGTCTTTCCACCTCCAGCTCTTCCCTCACCCTACCGCATCCGCCTTATTATAACCACGGAAAGAGCAAGTTGTGCCACGGAGGGTCAGGTTGGGTATTAGGAAAAAATTCTTCTCTGAAAGAGCTGTCTGGCATTGGGAGCAGGCTGCCCAGGGAGTCACTGTCCCTGGAGGTGTCCAAGAACCGTGGAGATCATAGAACCATTTGGAAGGGGCCTTTGAAGGTCATCCAGTCCAACTCCCGTGCAATAGATCGGGTTGTAGGTGTGGCCTTTGGGGATGTGATTTGGTTGGCGTGATGGTGACGGGTTGAAGTTTGCACTTGATCGTAGAGGTCTTTTCCAACCTTAATTATTCTGTGATTGCATGAAAAGCTGCTCAATTTAATCTCCTAAACCCAGTGGACTGTGGCGTGATGCCACGATCCCTTCCCGACTGGTGGCAACGGGGTGGCTGGGAGCTGAAGGCAGAAAGCAGCCCCCAGCACGGCTGTTGCTATTTGTTGTCATGTGCAGCGTGGCGGCGGTAACTCTGTATGGGGCATTTTAAAGGAAAAGGTTAAACAAAAATGAGTTAACGCTCAAATTGACAATGAAATCGGCCCCAATCCAGAGCTGTCAGAGGAGCCGAGAGCTGTCAGATGAGCCCAATTTCGCTAGCTGTAAAGGATAAACTGGAACCTCTTGTCATTTAAAAAAAAAAAAAAAAGAAAGAAAAAAAAAAGGAAGGGAAAAAAAAAAAAAAAGAGAAACCAAACGTTTCAAATGTTAAAATTAAAATGTAACATTTATGCCAATCGATCTGTGAAATTTAGTGACAAAATTGGCAGCCTGCTCTAGCATAAAAACAGTTTGAGCCTTGCCTTCAGCATAGGGGGATGGGATTTCCTCAAGAGAGGCTCGGGGTGCCTGCGGCGAGCGCTCGCCTGGGATTAAAGCCTGGTGATAATAATCATTTCTTTTCTGGATTAAGCAGCTCTGCCAAAGCCAAATCCTGTGGCTGTGTGTGCATCCCTTGGGCAGAGCCTGGAGCCAGGGAACTACGATCTTTTGCTTCCACCTCCATCATTTCTAGGGCTGTGTGCATGGTTCAACTTTCATCCACCTTTTCACCTTCCATAGGTTTCTCTCTTCTTTGCTTTGTGCTCCCAGCCAATGAGTGAGGTTTGTCGAAGCTTAGGTTATCCAGCCCAGCACCATTTGGGCACATCATTTCCTCCAGACATATGAAAACAGGGTAAAACATTTCATTTTTGGTGAGCACTCATTGGGCTGGAAGAGCCAGCCATATTGCCAGCAGATCCAGCTCGTGGGCAGGACTCGTGGCCCTTTTGTGTTCATGTTGTTTCAGGGGTTCAAGGTTTTTTGTGGTTCACAATTTTGGGGGGTTTTCTTTTTTTGGGGGCTTATGGATCTTTTGGGTTCTGTTTTTTGAGAGTTGACAGGTTTTTTTGGGTTCACGTCTTTTTGGGGGGGCTCCTCATCTTTGGGGTTTGCTGCCTTTTGGTTCTCCTTTGAGTTCCCCATGTTCAGGGTTTGTTGTGTTTTGGGCTCGCCATCTTTTAGACTCACTGTTTTTGAGTTCTTTGAACTCACCACCTTTTGGGTTCACGGTCTTTTGGGCATGTTGTCTTTGGGGTTCACTGTCTTTGGGTTCTCCTTATTTAGGCTCACTGCTTTTTGGGTTCACCATCTTTGAGGTTCATTGTCTTTTGGGCTCATCGTCTTTGGGGTTCGCTATCTTTGGGTTCTACTTCTTTGGGTCACCACTTTTTGGGTTCATCATCTTCAGGGTTCATTGTCTTTTGGGCTCGTGATTTTTGGGCTTCGCTGTATTTGGGTTCTTCTTTGAACTCACCACTTTTTGGGTTCATGGTCTTTTGGGCACCTTGTCTTTGGGGTTTGCTGTCTTTGGGTTCTTTGAACTTGCCAGTTTTTTGGTTCATGCTCTTTGGGTTTGTCATCTTTTGGATTTGCCACTTTTTGGAGCTCACCATTTTTTCAGGCTCCCCATTTTTTTTGTACTCACCACTGTTAAGGCTCTACACTTTATGGCTGCGTTCTGAAAGCTCCTGGTCTGGTATCCAAGTCTTCTGATTGTCGTTTCAGACAACTCCATACCAAACGGGTGGGTGAAATTTGCAACCCCGCTCCTTTGTCCTCTGGGATTCAGATGAGGAGCCTTGTTGGGGCTGGGGAACACCTGGAGCAGAGCCTCGTGCCCATTGCAGGTGACAGGCAAATAGAGCAGGGCTCGAGGCTGCAAAATGAGAACTCCACTGCAGACATACCGAGAGCCGACAGACGTCTGGAAAGTGCCTGCAGCCCTGGTCTGCAGCCACAAAGGGCTGTTCGCACCTGATAGGCAATTAAATGTTGTTAGCTGGTACTTTTCTAGTGCTTAGAAGCTTTTTTTTTTTTTCCCCTTTTTTTTTTTTTTTTTTTTTAATATATATTTTGTTTTCCTTCTTAGTTATTTTTTCCCCTGACAGTAATTAAAAGTGAAACTGTACATTTCTTGACAGACTCTTGCACATATGGAGAGTTTGCATTTAAACGTGCCTCTTTCAGTCATACAGATTTTGGGTGCTCTTTTATTTATTTATTTCCCCCTCCCTTCTCTCCCTCCCTCTCGCGCTCTGACTGCTGCTGCTGCGGGGGCTGCTTGTCTCCTTCTTCCTCCTCAACGCTTCCCTGGTCCCCATGGGACACTCGGTGGTTTTGGGATGAGGATGGGGTCGCACCTGTTGAGTTCATTTGGCTCTGACCGACAGCAGTGCAATTAACAAGATCCTCATCGTCAATGGGAGCGGCGAATCGGTGGGACTCGCACGTCTTGGCCTTCAGCCAGCGCCCCGAGCGGCTGCAACTTGGAGAAAGGCTGGAGGAGGAAGAGCTGGAGGAAGGAAAGAGAGGAAAGATGTAAACGAAAGCGGCCTCGCAGCCCTGCTGCCCCTCTGTTTGTTGTTATTTCTCTTTGATGTCGTCAAGCGTGGGGGTTGGCTCCTCTTCAGCTGCTGTTGCTGCAGGTGTATGGGGCTGGATTGAGCTCTCCTCATCTTGTGGCAGTGCTTGTGCTCCAATGGAGAAGTTTGCATTCTTCTCGGCATTGCTGGGAGCAACCATAAAGGAAGAGGTGCTGAGATGGTCTGTGAGCATGGGTGAACTTGGAGTCTTCTTGCCCAGCTGCCCCAGAGACATTTCAGACCACATTGATACCCAAGCAGCCCAAAAATCAACACATTTGGAATTAAAAGTTGTTCAGTCTTTATACTCTTTGTGAAGATGCAAATGTGAATTCGTGCTGTGAAGAGCACCTTCATAAACTATCAGAAGATAGAGGGAAGAGAGAAAATGACAGTGATGTTACGAAGCCCCACTTCTTCACAGTGGGGTTTCCTAGTTCCCTTCTTACCTGCTTCTTACCCAGGAACTCCTGTCCCCGCTCATTGGGTTTACTGCTGGGAGCCCCTTTGCTTTCCTTCCCTCTCCTCCATGCATCACTACAGGCTCAGGGCAGCGTGCCTGAAAGCTGCATGGAGGAAAAGGATCTGGGTCAGTTGGTCAACACTTGGCTGAACATGAGCCAGCAGTGTGCCCAGGACTCAAGATGCCCCAGTGAAAGTTCAGGTTGGACATTAGGAAACGTTTCTTCTCCAAAAGAGCCATCAGGCACTGGAAGAGACTGCCTGAGGAGGAAGTGGAGTCAGCATCATGAACCACGGTGACGTGGCACTGAGGAATGTAGTCATGGGCATGGTGGGGATGGGTTGAGTTGGGGTTGGGGATCTCAGAGCTCTTTTCCAACCTTCATGGCTCTATGCTTTTTCAGTTTTTTTTACCCTTGAGGGGAACAGGCTGCCGTCAAACAGAGCAGGAAGGATTCTGGCAGCACTGCATCCTCTGCAAGGGATGGATTCTCTGAAGAATTGCAGGAATGAGCCTGAATGGTATTTTGAGGCATCCCAAGGATGCTGGCAGTGCCATGTGGACAGTGCATACATACAGGCTCAGATCAGCAGTTCTCTTTGAACAAAACAGGTGGCTCCAAAACAGGAGCACGCATGCTTCTGGGTGGCACTCCTGTCTTCAGATGTTCAAACCTCATTGCTTTCCTGGGTGATTCTGTTCCCTCACCTGCTTGTTCCTGGTTGTGCTCTGGCCACTCACCATGAAACAAAGCTCACACATGGACATGTCTTATTAGAGGCAATAGAACTATGCTTGCTGTTTTCTTGCCTAGCAGAGCATCAACAAACCATGTGTATGTTAACACTAATCTCTTCTCTTGCAGGTTGTTGGTCTTCTTCTGCCCAACCAGACGATAGCATCCACTGTGTTTTGGCAGGTAAGGCTCATCTGCCTCTGTGTGCTGAGTGGGTGGGGGATGTCATGCAAAGGAAAGCAGCCTTGACTTGTGTCTTCAAGACAGCCTGGTGCATGCAGCTTTGTGGCACGTTAGGGGGAGATTATGGCTTTTTAGCTTTAAAATTGCTTTATACCATGGCCTTAAAGTTTGTTTTTAGATCTAGTTGCTTATTTTCACGATCGAGTGCTTATGCACATGCTTCTGTGTGGATGGAGTGCTGGTGAAAGCTGCATGCATTTCTATCTCAGCTCTAAGGGTCGGTGCATGCAAGAGCTTGTACAAAGATGTGGCAAATCACAGACGGATCCAAACAGAGATGGCACTCCCGTGTTTGTAGACCTGATTTTCTGCAAGGTTACGTTTACATCTCTCTCTTTTTATTTCCTCTGTAGTGGTTGAATCAGAGCCACAATGCGTGCGTCAACTATGCAAACCGCAATGCGACAAAGGTGAGGAGACCCAGCATATGCGGCGTGCGCTGCGTGCTAGCTCTGTTTTGACATGGAAACATAAGTCTTGTCTCTTGGCTGTTAATAGAAACTGCAGAGTAGGCACTGTGTTGAATTTGTAGCTTGGCCATTCTCCTGTAGAGACTTCTATTTCGTTGTGGCTGTGAATGGCTCAAGGATCTCGAAATCACTCGAAGCTCAGGAGCAATGCTCAGTGCCTTCACACTGAGCCAGGGTGGGGTTTAATCCGTAGGAATTAAATTGGGTGTGTAAATGAGCACAAAGCAATGTCTGTTTGGGTGTTTGGATAGCAAAGGAAGGCTCCCTGGTCACCCTTCTGTGTCATGAGGACGTTCAGTATGCAGCCCAGGCATCATGCTGGCCCTGCTCTCTTCCCCTTCCTCAGTGTTGATTCGTGTCTTGTGGGGATGTGGGAGCTCACAAGAGGAATCTGAGATGGAAACCATCCGACTCACCATGATAGCATTTCAAGGACAAATGTTTGATAAGGAGAGTTTGGGGTTCACTGCATGTGTATAAGAATAGCAATGTTGTTTTTTTTTTCTATTTTTTTTTCCACTTACTGAATTTCTTTCACATATTCTTTAAGCTGCTATTATTACAATTTGTGATGCCAATTAATTTTCCATTCCCTTTAACCTTGTTCATGAGGTTACGTTTTTCCTTGGGCTTGCTGCTGCTAGATGACAGACCGTGTGTCACAGAACAATATGACAAAATTAAACCTGTCTCTGGTTTAAAGAAAATACAAAAAGAAAAAGTACCCCCAAACAACAAAAACAGCTCAGTTGCATTTTAATAACCAGAAGTTTGTTTATTGAAAATATGTTTTGTTTTTCTTTCCAAAGCCTTCTCCGACGTCCAAGTTCATCCAGGGCTACTTGGGAGCTGTCATAAGTGCTGTCTCAATAGCAGTGGGTAACGCTTTATGTATTACACTACTAAGTAACTGCTCCCTTCCAGCAGCACTGCAGTGCTTTTGAGATGTTTCTTTGAATTGCCAAGCATGTTTAGATTTTAATTGACACAGCTCAGTCTAAACAACAAGAAAATATTTTAACCACGAGGAGTATCTGTCCATGCATGCCCAGGCTTTTCAACAGAAGGAGACTTCTGCCACTGATTGCTGCCAGCATGTCCTGCACTGTGCTCTGCTTGGGTCTCTGTGCTGTTGCTTTGCTGCTGGGTGAACTCAAATTATCCACACATGCAGGGAGCCTACAAACAGGAGGGGAATCATCTCTTTGAAAGGGTAGATAACAGCAGGACGAGGGGAAATGGTTTGAAGTTGAGGGAAGGAAGATTGAGGTTGGATGTCAGGGGGAAGTTCTTGACAGAGAGAGTGGTGAGGTGCTGGAACAGCTGCCCAGAGAGGCTGTGGATGCCCCGTCCATCCCTGGAGGTGTTCAAGGCCAGGTTGGATGGGGCTCTGGGCAGCCTGGGCTGCTATGAAATGTGGAGGTTGGTGGCCCTGTGTGTGGCAGGGGCTTGGAGCTTCATGATCCTTGAGGTCCCTTCCAACCCTGGCCGTTCTATGATTCTGCATTAAGATGCTGGTGAATTAGCCCAGTCCAGGCTGAAATGCCAAGAAGTGTGATGGTGAGGCTGCAGAGTAGCAGTGTGATAGCTGATCTGAGCAGTCAGGCTTTGAAGATTGTCCCCTGGCGGCTCAGCACCTTGAGTTAAAAGAATCATAGAATCATGAAGGTTGGAAAAGACCTGAAAGACCATCAAGTCCAGCCCAAACCTCACCATGCCCACTGACCACATCCCCAAGTGTCACATCACCACGGTTCTTGGACGTCTCCAGGGACAGTGACCCAGCACTGCCTGGGCAGCTGTGCCAGCGCTTGATGGCTCTTTTGGAGAAGAAATCTTTCCTGATATCCAACCTTAAAGATCCTTAAAGATATTTTGTATTTTTTTAATTTTTATTTTTACTGTGGCCCAAACTTTTTGTCTCTCTCTCAAGCCTCAAACGTCCTCCTGCAGGCATTCTTTCTGCCAACAGACTGTGCCCTGGGCAGTCAGCACTCAGCTTGCCTACCACACCGTTTGGGTTCCCTAATTCATTTTGGGGCAAAAGGCTGTGTGGGCTTGTTAAGACTTCTTTACAGTGTTTCTACAGAGCCAGCTGGTGATGGTTAGAAGGATTATGTAGATGGGAGTAAGATGGTTTTCCATGGTGTTGGCTTGGCTTGCTCACTGGCTGCCTCTCCTAGAATTAACCTGTGCACACTGACCAGCCTTCTGTTGGAATGAGCTTCCATACTTTGTAACCCCATAGACAGAGGGCAGGAGGCAGAGAGAAGTGATATCAGCAGAGTTTTGTCACCCCACAGAGCTGGTGGGCTCCATAAGGAAACTGCTTGGGCCAAGAGCAGAGCTGACCATGGTGGGATGGCTCTCATTCCTCTTGTGCTGATTTGCAAAGGAGCTGAAGCACTTCAGGGAACCACCAGTGGGAGAAACTCATCCTCTGAAACAGCATGAAAAGCTTCCCAAAGACCTGGGGATAAAGGAATTGCATCCAACCAGCAGTGGCCTGCAGGCTCTGCAGGGTGGCTGTCACCACTGGTGGCACGTGGGCCACTTGGCATTGCTGATGGGAGATGCCATGCTGCAGTGGACTTCTATGGAAGGCACTTGATGCCTGCAAAGAGTATTGCATGGTATGGCATAGAATCATAGAATCCTTAGAGTTGGAAGGGACCTTTAAAGCTCCTTTAGTCCGACCGCCTTGCAATGAATAGGGACATGCACAACCAGGTAGTTATTTGTAGATCTGAGGGGTGCAGTGTTGCTATGGGGAGGTGGCAGCTCTCCTTGCATCTGAGGGAGCAGTGAAAGGCAGCAGCTTTAAGGCTGCTTCCTCCTTCCTGATGTGTGCAGGTCTGTTGGCTTCAGCGTGGGGTCAGCCGTGGTGCTTGGGGTGCACTGAAAGTGGACACTTGCAAAAAGAAGGCAAAGTCTGCACGCACTGAGGTCCCTGAACAGACAAGCCCTTGGGGACAGGAGCAAGGCAGAAATCCCCTATTGCTGGCTCAGAGCCGCCTGGAGAAAATCCTGCAGGCAGGGAGTGATTTTTATGTTGTAAACATCTGGATTAATAACCAGCAGCTCCTCAAGAGGTTGTTGGTTTTGTTTTCTTTTTTGGTTTGGTTTTTTTTTTTTAAATGGTGATGACAAATAATTTAGCAGCAGCCTCGAGTTTCGTTATGTCGGATTCTAAGGCCTCAGCCCTCATTAACCGGTGTCTGCTGTCAGTTAGCAATAAATCACCTCCCAGTGTGAGCCTATTAGGACCAGATGACCTGAAAACAAGTGCCACTGCCTCCAGTGGTCTGCTGAGACCCGGTATTAATTAAAGCAGGCCCCTTCCATGTTTGCAGTTGGCAAGCAATGCAGGGAGGAGGCTGGGGAAGTGACAGATCAGCTGGGTTATGATGCTGCTTCCCAGAGAGGGACAAACAAACGGCTTTCTCACGTGGATGGAAGAGCAGATTTTGGCTTTATACTTCTTGCAATTAAACTAGAAGTCTCAGCAAACCTTTGCAAGTAACGTTATTCCTTTCTCATTTGAGAGAAATGAGAAATCTCCGTTGCAGAGAAGCAGCATAGATCTGGCTCTAGATCTGGGACTGCTGCTGTGCAGTCCTTTGGGATGAGGAATTTTAGAGGAATTAATATTTATTTACTATGCATTAATATGGGATATATTACATATTTTTTCAGCAACTTTCAGTATTTCTTTTTTTCAATATTTCTTTTCCTTCCACCTTACTGATCTGGCACCTCATCTAGTGGTTGGCAACCAGCTTGTGACAGGAAGGTTGGAACCAGATGATCTTTGAGGTCCCTTCCAACCCAAACCATTCTACAGTTCTTTGGTTCTACTCCCAGCCTGATTCACAGAATAGCCCTGGGCAAAGGAATCTATGCCAGAATTTTATTTCTTCTCCAGTACAGTATAGCTTGAGACAAGGCTAGAGCTGACCTCAGAAGGAAGGACCTGAAGATTGGCCAAGAGCAAGGAGATGGAGGAACCAATGTGCCAGATCTCCTCCACCTCTGATGTTTTTGCTTGTTGTATATGGTGTTCCTTTCTGCCAGTGACACACTGCTCCCCATCAGCACCTGACATGAAAGAGGAAATGAAAGCGTTGGTCTGAGATCTGTCATCTTTGGGACAGAAGAACAAGTGGGGTTTGTCCCCATTAAAAACGTGGCCAGATTCCTTCCTTGAAGTATGCCAGCTTATGCAACATTATAGATGGCTTTCATTAAGAGAATGTTTAGGATTGTTTGTGGGCTCAGGTCTTGTCAATACAAAGAGAAATGTGTTGTTCTTGCTTAGCAACCTGAGCTAGGTTCAGAACAAAAGTAGGTGTTTTGTCTTTGCTATAAAACCAGAGCTGCAGTGGCATGTAACCACAGCCGCCAGGCTCTGCTTTTGTGCTGGTCTGCGTGCTTGAAACATCACAGAATCATCAGTGTTGCAAAAGACCTCTAAGATCCCCAAGTCCAACCCCAGCCCATCCCCACCATGCCCACTGACCAGGTCTCTCAGTGCCACATCTCCATGCTCTGACCACTCTGCTGGAGAAATTTCTCCTAATACTAAACATGAACCCTCCCCTAGTGTAACTTAAGGCCAACTAAGCAGGACATAAATGTTTCCTTTTGGTTTACCTTACTAGCTAACCTTGGGTTAAAAAATCAGGTGATTGATAACCCATTAATAACCTCAGTGCCCAGTGCTGGTATTGATGGCTGGCCTTGGAGGCCAGGAGGGTGTTTAAAGCTGCTCTTCAAGGACTGATCCACTGTACTCTTAAAAGTGTTGATACAGAAAGACCACCGTGCTTTCTGACCCTAAATACTGGCTTTGGACTATGAATCATCCCCCACTGTGCCCACTGAGCCTTGTCCCTCATGTTGTGTCTCTTCTGGTTGCTTGTCACTCTTCCTGTCCCTGCAGGTAGAAATGGAGTGAATGCTGCTTGGCTGGGTGCATCCAGCAGGATGGCCTCACTTATCAACTCTGCTTCAGGGTAGGGGAATGCAGCCCAGTGACCTGGTATCAGTTCTGATGGATGGAGTTCTTCAGAGCAGGGACTCAACCAGAGGTGCTCCAGGATTCAGATTCCCACTATTGCAGCAAGAAATCACTTCTCCCCATTCAGGCATCTTGGAGGTCATCCTAGGGCAGTTTTCTCCTTAGTGATGTTACTTCTAAGAAAACACATCTTGCTTGTTGATAAAGAAACAGCAGCTTTCTGCAGAGCTGTATGAGAATGCTCTGCTGTCTGTCTGGGCTCACATCTGAACCTGCACGCTGGGAAGGCCAGAGCTGATGGATGTATGGAGCTCCTGATAGAGCCCTCACTCCTGGGAATGCTTCCTGGATGCTCTCATAGTTACTGTAGGTTTCAGTTGTGCTTCCTGAGTTTTTCAAGCATGGTAATTTGTCTTGGAGATTTTGGGTTTTATTTCCATGGGTTTCATAAATCATAACCCAAGTGGTCACAATTGGTTGAGCAGAAATGTTACATAAAAAATGGAACTCCTAAGTTTATATTTAGTTGTAAAAAAGGAAAAAAAAAAATGGTACAGGAGGCTAATCTGCAAAGCCAAGCCTAGTGTGCATCTAAGAGATCAGCTTAAAGCAGAGCTTGCTTCTGGACAAATGGACGTTGCAAAAATGATATTTTCAGACCAAGCAGGTCTTTTTCCCCGTAGAAAAAGTCAGCATCTCACAAAATCAAAATGTGCTTTGTCTTGAAAACATCCATTGTAACCTAAGATATTCTCAAGCCATGGAGGAATTCAGCAGAAAGATCTTATTTGCCTTCTCCGAAGGAAGCTGAGAGGTGAAGACGATTCAAGCCTAGGATTATAGCTGTAAAACAGTATTAGCATCGTGGTGGCTGTGTCACAGCCAGCTTTTGGCAGTAGCTGGCCTTGCAGCCCAGGCTCCCACAGCTCAGCAAACTGTACAGCTCTGCTGTTCCCAGGGAATGTTTGCTGAAATATGCAGATATAAAAATATTGTAACACCATGGAGTGAGAATAATGGGGGAAAGAGTGCATTTATATATGGCAGCTCTGTTCTAGGAGAGGAGAGGAGAGGAGAGGAGAAGGAAAAAAAGAAAAAAAGAGGAGAGAAGAGAGAAGTGAAATGAGAGAAATGAGAAGGAGGAAGAAGGAAGAAGGAAAAAGAGAAGAGCTGTGTGATGCTTGCGGACAGGATATTTATCCCAAACTAGAAGGGTCAATCTAAGGCATCAATGAGATAAATTAGAGTTGGACTGACTCAATACCCTTAGAGAATTCGCAAGATGAAAAAGAACAGGATCTTAATTTATTTTCCCAATTCAGAGTGGACAGGAACACCTGTTGGCCTGAGTGGTCCCTTGGTGGTCCGGAGCACCCACGCTCTCCTGCTCGCACCATAACTGGCCATTTGCTCTCCTCCCCATGGCGCGCTGAACTCGCGCACGCACCGACACCATTTTTCGCCTCCCTCTCCAGGTGAAGGTGCCCCTGTGGATTTTTCTAATCCCAACTCCCTCTTCCTGATAATTGTTTGTGAGTCGTGCAGAGCAGCTGCATTGACAGCCTGCGAATGGGGTGTGATGGCCGTAATCAGGTTGTGGGCCACCCACCGCCGTGGGGCTGCCGGCCACTGTGTGCAGCATGGAAAGCACAGGGCTGGAGGGAGTCCAGGGAGAGCATCCAAAGGAGGGCTATGGAGATGGGAAAGGCTCTGCCCCACGGGGCAGTGGGCATGAAACAGTGTTACCAGGGCAGTGAGTGTGGCGCTGAGCTGCCAGAGCTCGTGGTGCACTGGGACGCTGCTCTCAGATGCCGATTCAGGCCTTGGGCATGGGAGCTGTTGTTCTCCTCTTTGCTCCTTATCACCTATCAAATCGTTGTGCCATTTTCTTCCACTGACGTGCCCAACTGTGGGGCTACTGCCCTTATCCCTTCTGCCATCGTTTTGGGTCTGACCAGCATTACTTTCTTGCCTTGATCTTGTTTCTCTCTAACTTCTTTCTCCACTTAATTCATTTCTGCTTTCCCTTCCCTGCGCTCCTCCATTCTGTTCTCCTTGGCTTGGTAAAGCTCCAGTTGGTAAACGGCCCAGTTTCCCATCTCTCTGCCTCCATCTTCACCTCTCAGCCCTAATGAATGATTTTTTTCCTTCCTTTTCCTAATGCTCTTTTCTTTAGTTTAGCTGGATGGGGCTCATCAGATCCAATTAGTGCTGTGGTGTTTAAATTCAGCAATCTGGTGATTTTGGGGCTGAAGAAGAAGCTTCCTTTGAGCCATTCCCTGCTTCCAAACCGACTCTAAGTCACCTGAACCAGCTCAAACTGTGGTATTCAGTGTGCTATGGCCCATATGCTGCTGAAACCTGGGAAGGGTGTCCCTGTTCATTGCAGGAAAGTTGGACTGGATGGCCCTTCCAACTCTATGGATTGTATGATTTTGTGAAAGCCGAATCCCTTGCGTCAGTGGAGCCCTAACCCACACAGTGAAGTGTCATCAGCATCTTCCAACTCATGTCTGCCTTCTTTGTGGGACTTCTTCTGTTTGGTAAAAAGAATTTGCTGTCAAAATGATGCAAAATCACTTCTTTTTGAGTGATCCACTGATGTATTTACTGCTCTGGCTTAAGGGGGGGGTAGGGTTGGAGCTCCATCAAGTGAGTCAGTCATTGCCGACATGAGGAATTGAAAAGCCGCTCCTCAGGCTTCAAAAATATTAGCAGTCATAAAGTAAAAAGTTGAATTTTTTAGAATGAAAAAGGGATTTTTTTGGTGTTGGTCTTGCGTTTTCCGTGCTTTTCAAATTCATATTGTAGTGGATATGAAGTCAGAACTTTTTAGGGCAGGAAGGAAAAGAAAGAGAAAGGGAGAAGAAAAGGGAATCTCTCGGTAGCTGATTACGCACAGTCTCCCACTCCACCAACCCTGGTTTCATGGTGCAGGAGTTCAACATCCCCAAAACCCAGCTTCCCCAGCTCATCAGGATGCACTGTCATCCGAGCTGATGGGCTGTGTAGAATGAAACCTCAAAGAAGGCGCAATCTAAAAAAGCTGGATCCGTCCCCTAGTCTGGGTTGCATCATGGGAATATCCTGAATCAGTTCTACAGTGAAACTCCTATTTAAAAGCCGTGCTCAGAGATCACAGCTGCAACAAGGAGCACTCATTGGGCCTGAGTTTGGACATCACCACCGTGGGTATTTCCATCCCAGCTCGGTCCCTGGGCTCCTTTCACAGTCAGCAGAGCTGAATGGGCACCGCTAGGGGTGTTCTGTGTGAGCACACAAATGTCTATCTTGGGTGGTGAATAAACACCCTGAAAAAAGGCACGTTTCTCAGGGCTGGACTGCAAAGCGAGCCCATCTGGAGGTACCACATTTGCTCTGATGAATCCCACCTGACTCCGTTGCGCGTTTGCACAGCACAGCGTTGTGGATCCCAGCTCTGTGACTCAGACTGTGGGCAGGGTGAGGATAATAATACTCCCGCGGTTGTTTTCTTAGCTCCAGTGATGAATTTGACTCTGCAGTCGGTGTTCTTTGGCCAGCCCTAGGATTTAAAGCCATTGGCTTCTTGCTGGTGGAGGAGCTCCATTTCAGGGCTGGATGTTCTCCTGCCCTCACGCTGCTGTCCCTCTCCATGATCTGCAAGAAGAAGTTCACAGGTCGACTCGAGTCATTGCAAAACTGTAAAAAACAAACCCTCATTAGTCCTTTAAACCTGGTCCTCGTGTTGGGAATTCAGGAGATTGGATTCAAATCTGTAGCAATGTTTAATTTCGTATTCACAGCGGGGTGGTTGCTGTAAGTGGAGGAGCGAGTTCGTCTGCAGCACCAAATTGAATCTGAAAGTAAAATGCTTTTTATTACCACCAACCTCACAGCAGCGTCGCTCCAGGGCTCGGCTGCATCTTTTCTGTTTCCAGAGCTGCTGCTCTTCCACTTCACGTTCAAATCCTTCCATCAAACCTACGAGCAGAGGCTGGAAACCCAACACAGTTTGTCATCTCCGCAGATGAACTGTCTGCAGGCTATAAATACTCGGTCTGTGGGGCAGCACCGTGCTGAGGGCCGTTGTAGCTTCACTTTTACAGGCACACTTTTTTTCAGATGAATGTTTGGAAGAATGTTCAATTCTACAAATCCCCAAACTTGGATAATGTAAGAAAACAGCAATCGGTCGTTTTTGAGAGGGAAGAAGATGGAGACGAAGCCCTTTATTCATGGCAGGAATAAGAGGAAACGCTCCGGCTCTTTGGGATCAGGAGGGAAGGTTTCCTTTGGGGTCTCAGCAGTGGTTTCATGGGGCTCTGGAAATGCTTTATGGGTCCTGGGATCCAACACTGCCTATACAGGGCTTGCCCAGCAGTTGTGCTTCTCCACATCTTCCTCGCAGCCTACAAAGAGACGAGATGCGCTGCGGATGCATGTATAATGTAGCAGCTTGCAAAATATGTTCTGCCCCAAATCACTATTTGTTGGCAGATTTTTGGCTTTGGCTGATTTTTTTTTTTTTAATTTAATTTTGCTGCATTTTTTGGCTGAAAACGTTTTGGCCGAGCGTTGCTCACAACTTTTTGCATTTTCGTCCGAAAATTCCCCGTTGGGGACAGTTGGATTTTGTCTGCGTGTTTGTTTCTTTGAAAGAGAAAAACATCGTGGGGGGGACTAATCTGAAGGCTGGAGCCATTCCCTGCTAATGGGTTGGTTTGGTTAATGACCCAATTTCTGATCAAAACTTAATCTTGATGGGATTTCTCCAACTATCACCAGTATCTGACCGCAGAGCTGTGAAACAGTCTCTGTGACTTAGATCCTTTGTGAAACTGGAGAGATCTGCATCACACACGTGCTGGAGGAGGCACCCAAAAAAAGATCTGTGGTTATAATGAGCTGCCTACTATCTCTTGCTCCTATTAATAGCTCCTTTGTAGCCCAAATATTTGATGGGAGTGAAGCGATGTGTTGTGCATGGCCACAGGAGGAGGGATGAGTTGTGTTGGAGCAATACAACTGGGCAAGGACTAGGTGGAAAAGCCAGCAGATGGGAAAGTTTGCTAGAAAATGCTGCTGAATTGCATAAAGTGCAGTGAGGAGCAGTTCCATGAGAGCAACGCAGTGGTTTCCTGGCTGTCTTTTGCTTGCAAATGGCTTAAAACCCATCAAGGGTTGAACCCAACGCAACAGAACCCTACAGCAATGGGATGTAGTTCCCAAAAGAAGAATGGAGTGGTGATGTGCTGGAACAGGCTGCCCAGAGAGGCTGTGGATGCTCCATCCCTGGAGGTGTTCAAGAGCAGGTTGGATGGGGCCCTGGGCAGCCTGGACTAGTATTAGGTATGGAAGTTGGTGGCCCTGCCTGTGGGTTGGAACTTGATGATCCTTGGGGTCCCTTCCAACCCAAGCCATTCTGTGATTCTGGGCATAGAGAGGGGCCCAATCCATCCCTGTGTAGGGTTCTGCTGCTGTCTGCAAGCTGTGGCACCTGTCCTGCTCTTCCTAGCTAAGTTCTAGTTGTTTTTTGGGTGGTGCTGTATGGAACCAGGAGTTGGACTCGATGATCCTTGTGGGTCCCTTCCAACTCGGGGTGTTCTATGATTCTGTCATTCTAAATGTTGCTGTTTTTCTGTTCTTTTGTTTCCTTCTTGTGTTCTAAGGTGGGCCTTAATGTTCTGGTACAGAGAGCAAACAAGTTTACCCCCGCCACTCGTCTCTTGATCCAGAGGTTTGTGCCATTCCCCGCTGTCGGTAAGAAATCACTCCTTTTCTCTGTATTTTCATACCCTGACTGTGGGTAAAAACTGCTGATGGGGAATGGATCCACCTGTGGGGATGGATGGAGCACAACTCAGGTTGGGTCTGAGTCAGAGATGCACACGGGAAGTTGTGGGCTCTGCATCCCAAGGTGTCATGAGCAGCAGGTTGCATCCGTGTCAGTATTGATTGAGAGCCCGTAATTAATTTGTTTAGCTTAGCCCATAATTAATTCTCTAGTTCTTTTATTTGTGTACTGTCATGCTTCATTATGTGTCAGGACATCAGGAATCCTCCTGCTAATTGCTGTTTTGGTGGCTTTGAAAGCTCTGAGTTACCTATTTGCAGACCTGGGTAAATTCCTTAATTAAGATATGCCTGCCCATTGCTTCTGAACTGCCAGCCTGCAGCCAAAGGGCAAAAGTTAGCTTTTTCTGCATGAAAAACAGAAGCTGATGTTAGGCTCTTGTTCCACTGCACACAGGATTAAGCAGCTTCCCTGAGGATCAGAGAATCACCGAGTCATTAAGGTTGGGAAAAGAGCACCAAGATCCCCAAGCCCAAGCCATCCCACCGTGCCCACTGACCAATGCCACATCTCCACAGTTATTGAGCACCTCCAGGGATGGTGACTCTACTCCACCAATAACATAACAGTTTGTGTTGGGAGGGACCTTTAAAGGCCATCTGGTCCCATTCCTTGCAATGAACAGGGACACCCACAGCTCCATCAGGTGCTCACAGCCCCATCCTGCCTGACCTTGGCTGTCTCCAGGGATGGGGCACCCACCACCTCTCTGAGCAACCAGTGCCTCACAGCCCTTACTGAAAGAAATGTTTTTCTTAGGTCTGGTTTAAATCTCCCCTCTTTTAGTTTCCCCTTGTCCTATGAAAAGAGGTGCACAGAGGGTTAGGGCAGACAGCTGCTTTTGTGTCTGAACCCACTTTCCAGTCAACACTGCCTGCTTTCTCAGAGGTCATTTCTAGCTTATATTGCCACTTTTTTTTTTTCTAAATTCTGGAAATCAGATCGTCTATCCATGTATTTAATTATTTCTCATTTCCCCTTCTATTTGAAACCTTCATGAAACCTACATTTAATTGAATCATAGAGTAACCTGAGTTGGAAGTGACCTAGAAGGACCGTCGAGTCCACCTTTGCAGCACAGAGCATCTCTTCTGGTGCAGTTTTGTTGGAAAAAAAAAAAAGAAAGCAAGAAAAAACAGGGCACTAAATTTGCTTTAAATGAAACACTCGGTGTCTTTTTTACTGTGGCTTGGTGAGCTGAAGGGTTGGTAACACAGATAGTTTGATAGATGGGAAGAGTGGTCCAGTAGTTAGAATATTAGAGAGACAGAGTGTGCGTGTGTGTATGTTCCTCTTCTTCTCGAGTGTAAGGAGCATTTGTCACCACAAATCATCCTTGATTGCAGGGAGCTGCGTTCATATAGGGCTCACCCACCCACCACCCTCAAAAAATTAGACATTTGTTATATGACATGAGTTGAGATTAATTAGCGAATATTAACCCATCAAGCAACGCAGAAACACATTTTTGGAAGCGGTGGTACTGCAGCAACAGTGGCTTTGCATTGGTTCTGGTTGGAAAAACAAAATGTGGTGGTGGGGGGGGGGGGGGGAAGGAGTTGCTGGAAAATGCCAGCTTGTGAAAAAGAAAACTTTTGGAGGAATTAGTAGCTTTTCTATGGAAAATTTTAAGGATTTCCTGCAGAGATTTGGGCGTTTCTGCACGGAACCTGGAGGAAGGCTGCAGCTGGGAAGGGTGTTTGTGGACCACCAGCCCCATGTGTTGCCCTGGGTGAGGGATTTGGGGTTAATTTGGGGGAGACAACAGAAGATGAGGGGCAGAAGATGAGCAGGGGCAGGTTTTGCAGGAAGGTGATCTGTCCCCATTGAGGTGTGGGTGCAGGGCTGGGATTTCTCAGATGCTTTGATGGCCAACCCCAAAGCATCCCTGTCGTGCCCCACCATGCCCACCACTGCAAAATCAGTCCACAGAGCCCTTTTTCCCCCTAAAGCATGAAAGATGAGGGCAGACGGTCAGCAGGAGCACTGCTAACACCGTGCATGTCCATGAAAGCAACCTAGCCTTGTGTCTTTGGTTCAGACAAAACGGCTGTCCTCCTCTGAGCTCAAAGCTCAGCTGTCCTTCACAGCTCAATGAAATCACTTGTGGTGATTTCCATCACACCTCCTCATATTCAGTGTTTAAGAAGAGTTTATCTGCTGGATTAGTGAGAGGTGGGGTGTACCTACCTTCAGAAGGAGCAGCTGTCCAAAATCAGGGCCTGGTTGTCCAAGCCCAGCTGGTCAGCAGGGTTAAGCCTTGTTTTGACTTGCCAAATCTCAATGTCAGGTGTAGAATAAATGGTCACAATGGGAGTTGGGAACATGGATGGACACCGACATCAGTAAATACCTGTATTTCTTTGTGTCAGTGTGCTCCTGATTGTGCCGTGTTAAAGGAAATTATTACCATTCCCTTCTTAAGCATCACATCTCTGTCTCAGTACAAGAATGAATTGTTGACTTTCAGAAACTTCTTGGCAGATTGATGAAAGCAAAGCTGAAGAGATGGTGTGGAGAACAGAAGCCTGCCATGTGGTAGTGACCGGGGCTGCGATGCTAATCATCATGCTTTTCTCATCCTCAGCCAGTGCCAATATCTGCAACGTTGTCCTGATGAGGCACACGGAGCTGGAAGAAGGAATTGATGTTTTGGACAATAATGGAAACATCGTCGGCTCTTCCAGAATTGCTGCAAAACATGTATGTACCTGAGATGTACCTGGTGAGCATTTGCACATACACAGCTGGCCTTCAGAGGGTGGTGAGGCACTGGAACAGGTTGCCCAAGGAGGCTGTGGATGCCCCATCCCTGGAGGCATTCAAGGCCAGGCTGGATGTGGCTCTGGGCAGCCTGGGCTGCTGGTTGGTGACCCTGCACATAGCAGGGGATTGGAATCAGATGAGCATCATGGTCCTTTTCAACCCAGGCCGTGCTATGATTCTGTGATTCAGGCTCAGCAGCTCCCACAGCTGTAGGAACTGATGGAACTGATGATTTAGAGCTAGACCTGGATGGCCTCTACTCATCATGCATGAAGAATTAAGCTGCAAGACTTAATGCCTCTTTGCAGCCGTGCATGGGGTTGGGTGACCACAGAGTGGAGTGTGCTGGTGGACACAAGCTCATGTCATGCATAGATTAGAGTATGCTGGTGGACCCAGGCTCATGCCCAGCAGCCCACTGGCTTGCCACAGTGGTTTGGAAGGGAGCAGACTGCCATCAGGGAGATCCTGCACCACCACCCCACTGCATTCACAGCCTTAGGATTTCTTAGTGGAAACTTGTAAGCAGTTCACATTGAATTCGAAGCAAAGATAACTTACACCTTTTTCTAAATGAGGAAGGCTTCATTCTCAAGCTGAGTTGCATTTTAACCCTTGCCATGTCAGAACTGTGTTAACACTGCCAACCCAGGCTCCGTAAGGGCAGCCAGATGTTTGTAGCCTTGTGCTAACACCTGGCTTGTTTTTCCCCTGTTGCCTTCTACTCTCTGCCATCTGCTTGCAATTACTCCCTTTTTTTTCCCTTCTTGCATAGTTTTGTCTTCTGAGCATCATCTGATTGTCTGAGGCGTGTTGTTTCCAAGTGGGCTTTCATCTGAAATGTAAAGCATGTACAGAAGCACACGCCCAGGCAGAGGAGTTAATAATATAATGCTTGGCATTTCTCTCGCTCCTTCTGTCCAAGGCTCTTAAGGCACTTCATAGACAGCAATTAATGTACAGATTTACAGTCCTCGGCAAGAAATGGGAGATCTCTAATATATCTCCATATTGTTGTTTAACAGGGAGCTTAAAACAATCTGTTGAAGGGCTCAGAGCTTCTTGATTGAGCCAGTTTGCCTCACTTAACATCACTGGCTTCAAGACCTTGCTTCCCCTCTCCATCCTAATGGTCCAGGGGAAGACAGGCAGCATAGAAAATAGTTATTAAAATTGGAGGTACTGATTTAAGTGGAGTTGAAGCTTTAGATTTCGGAGGACTTCTGCTCAGATGCCACGTTGTCCCAATGCTTCTTCCTGAATGGCACAGTGCTGGTTTTTGGGGTGTAAAATTTGACAGATCCTTAGGGCTACACATCTGTGCCTCTCTGAGACCTTCTGGTTGGAAAGGATCAAGTGCTCCCAAACGTGGCTGGATGTGTAAACATCAGCATTCCCACCCCAGACCTGCAGTAATCTCTACCTACATCTGGCAAAGCCCCACACATGGTCAGAGTGCTTGGGGCATCCCATGGAGTGCTGACAAAAGTGGCTGGAAGAGGTAAATGAAAACACAGTGGTGCCTCCTAAGGCATCCATGGTCATGTTTAGGTCTCATCTCAGGGGATTTGTATCTGTCATGCTGCCAAGCTGTTCTACAGCAAGTCTTGTGCTGGGGCTGGAACTCAAGGAAGGGAGAAAGGACTGACACTGCTCCTTAACCCATCTGGAGATATTTCACCATGCAGCATCTGCCAGGCAGCACCATCATGTTTGGGTGGGGATATGGTGGTGTGACTGTTGTGGTCCCATGCATTAACACCACAGAGGCTATGAGATGCACAGCCCTACTGCCTGCATTCATCTCTGCTTTACACCCAAGCAAGGGCTCCAGCCCATCGTTTGTAGCAACAGAGCAAAAATCACTTGGGTACAAATAGCTGATAGCAAACTTGGAAATGTGTTCTGGTATATTTGTGCATGTCTGCAACATGCACAGGCAAAGAGAGAGGCCAGGCAAAGCCTTTCTGTGTCTGCACACCGACTGCTCAGCGCAGGTAAATCCTGAGATTTGTTGTAAATGTCTTACATTTGTTGGTTTGTTCTTCCTTTCCAGGCACTGCTTGAAACAGCCCTGACTAGAGTGGTCCTGCCGATGCCTATACTGGTTCTACCTCCAATTATTATGTCCATACTGGAAAAGTAAGTGTTGGGTAACATGCGGGGGGGGGGGGGAAGAAAAGATCCTCAGTAGGTGTTATTCAGTGATATTTCTTAGCACTGCTCCATCAAAGACTTTTTCTGGGGGGGGGGAAATTTTGGCCATTGGTGTAGGTTGAGAGACAGAGCACAAATAATCAGAAATGTTGACTTCCAGCTTTTCTTACACCAGAATCATTCCTGACAGATGTTCTTCTGGAGTACTAGGAGAGTGGGCAGGGTTATTATTCATGTCTAAATGCCTCCTTTCACATTTCTTGATGACAAAAAGCCCCAACAACCTGCCCCAGCCGTAGGACCTTCTTCTCACCTTGCTTTCCAACACCTCTGTTTTTTCCTTCTGCTCAGTCTTTGGAGACTGATCAGTGCAGTGAAAGACAGAGATGCTAAAAGGCTTGTTGCCTTTGTCCAGACAGCCAAGCTGGAAGCACTCTTTGAACAAATTTGTTGATAGTGGTTGCTCTAAAGCACTCCGCTGACAAAGTAAATAGCAATTAACACAACTGGGGATTGACCCATGGCTTTGGTTAGCCTTGTGTGCCCTTGTAGAAATAGCCCTGGGCAATTTGCTCTCCTTAATGGAAGGGTTGGGTCTGCTTCTGTACACGCTGAGATTTTTAGCTTCCCAATATTTTTACAAATATTTCTTTTCCATATCCCTCCAGCACCCAGAGGCTCACACTGAGATCAGTTCTTCCCATGAGCTGGGTGTGGGGAAAAATGCAGCAACAAACTCACCTGGAACTCAGAAGTCAGTGTTTTCAGCCCTTGCTGACAAGATGTGCTGCTTCACAAAGGACTGGGGTTGTTCCCTGCAGCAGGGCACAGTCCTGCTAAGTGGCAGCCTGTGTTCCTCCTGACTTCACACAGCCGTGTGTTGCTTTCTGGTTCTGTCTTGGTGAGCTGTTGGAGGGGGTTCAGAGGAGGCCACAAAGATGGTCAGAGGGCTGGAGCACCTCCCTATGAAGACAGGCTGAGGGAGCTGGGCTTGTTCAGCATGGAGAAGAGAAGCTGCAGGGTGACCTCATTGCAGCCTGCAGTGCCTAAAGGGAGCCTACAGACAGGAGGGGAGTCAACACTGTGAAAGGGTAGATAACAGCAGGACAAGGGGAAATGGTTTGAAGTTGAGGGAGGGGAGATTGAGGTTGGATGTGAGGGGGAAGTTCTTGACGGAGAGAGTGGTGAGGTGCTGGAACAGCTGCAGAGAGGCTGTGATGCCCCATCCATCCCTGGAGGTCTTGAAGGCCAGGTTGTTTGGGGCCCTGGGCAGCCTGGGCTGGTATGAAATGTGGAGGTTGGTGGCCCTGCCTGTGGCAGGGGGTTGGAGCTTCATGATCTTTGAGGTCCCTTCCAACCCAAGCCATTCTATGATTCTATGAGCAGTTCAACCAGTGGGGCCACCCCAAAGTACAAACTATAATATCCCAGGAGGATCTTTGCTCTTCCAGTTGCCATAAGCACCCAAAAATCTCAATGTGCAGAAGCTCAGAGTTTGCAGAAAATTGGTCAGTGAATGATCATCTCCAACGCTGAGAACCATCCCAGGTCTTGCAAAGCACCCATGGGTTTAAATAACACTGATAATGAAACATGCTTTGTTCTTGTGGCATCACCACCTCCTGCACTGATGCCATGAGGTTTAACTGAACGCGGACATGCTCTGGGCGAGATGCACTCAAACAAAATTCATCTGTCAAGCAAATGGGGATATGCAGGAGCATTTTTTTTTGTTCAGAAAGTCATCGTTTTAACTAAAAGGCAGCCCAAGTTCAGGTTTGGGAGAGAATACTTTCCTTGTCACCACCCACCAAATGAAACTCTGTAGGTGTAAAATACACGGGCACGGATTTGGCCTGAATTCCACTTAGAGCTCTGTGCCTACTGTTGGATTTCCCTTTAAATATCTTTGGATTCCTGGAAGCCTGAATGAGAAGGGAGAGGGACAGGGAGTGGGGAGCAGTTTGGCCACGCAGAGGCTGTGGTTTGGCAGCTGGTATTATGGGATGTGGAAGCATCCCTTTCCATCTCTGAGGGATTTGCAGTCCATGTGAGCTCACAGATCTCTTAAATGAAGGATGCAGTCATAGAATCATAGAATGGCTTGGGTTGGAAGTGAGCTCAAGGATCATCAAGCTCCAACCCTGCCTGCATGCAGGGCCACCAACCTCCACATTTGCTATCAGACCAGGCTGCCCAGGGCCCCATCCAACCAGTCAGAGGGGAGACATCATTTTGTAAATAAATTTGGAGCATTGGGTGAAAAGTGTAACTTTTAAAATTTAATAGAATTTGGGTTAGCCCAGGAATTGTTATCAAGCCTGGGAGTCGTTATCAAGGCATGTATTATCAATTTATTTATAGAAGTCCTCACAGCATCTATAAATAAAAAAGAAGATGAGGGCTGTGGCTCGGTGTTTGAAGGCTGGAGCTCTGGAAGCAGAAGTCCCAGTCTGGAAGCTCTCCTGAGCCACGTGCAGCTGCGATTGTGCTGCAGGAGGGAACAGCTCTGCGGGGCACGGTGTTGCTTTTTGGGGGGTTGCAGCACCCAGAAGCAAACCACGTTCTCCCAGCGGTGGCTTTTGGTTCTGCAGAACCTGCTCCCTCCTTTTTGTCTCGGCGTCGGGGAAGTTTATTTTAAGTGGCCAGTTCCTGGTCGCCGTCTTTCCACTTGGATCCAGGTCTTTCCTCTCTCTCAGCCATCTCTCCATCTGCATGTTTTAACTCCCCCAGCTGCCTCTCTCGTCTCTTGTGCCATTTTTTTCAGCTCTCTTGGCTTCTCTCGTCTCTTTGCCTGCTGTGTATTTTAACTCCCAGGGCCGCCTTCTCTGCTCTCCAAGTAATTCAATGTTACCTCCCACTGCTGAGCTCCGCGGCGCTCCATTCTTTCCCCATGTTTCATGCATTTCCTGCTGCTTGGACGCTCTGTTGAAGCAGCTAACATATAGAATCAATGTTTATTTTGAGACTGCATATGCCATGCGGGGAACACGGTGTCAGTTATTTTGTGCAGATGTATTCTCTTTTAAGTTTTATAAATAATATCTGTGTTGGCAACTTTAATACGGGAAAATATTGGTTTTGTATTGTCTGTGAGATGGAGAAGACTCATCCGTGGGATCTGACTGACACTGGGTCAGACAATGAAAACTTCACTGGTACCTCTGCATTACAGAGTGTTAGGACAGCTATACAGAACTATAGGATCATTCAGGTTGGAAAAGGCCTCTAAGATGACCAAGCCCAACTTTAACCCACCCCACCCCACTATGCCTACTGACCATAGAATCACAGAATCAATGCATGGCCTGGGTTGCAAAGGACCACAATGATCATCCAATTCCAACCCCCTGCTATGTGCAGGGTCACCAACCAGCAAACCAGGCTGCCCAGAGCCACATCCAGCCTGGCCTTGAATGCCTGCAGGGATGGGGCATCCACAGCCTCCTTGGGTTTTTTTTTGACCATATCCCCCAATGCTGTGGTTCTTAAATACCTTGAGGGCTGGTGACTCTGCCAACTTCTCTGGGCAGCCTGTTCCAATGACTGCATCTACTGCATTAAGTTGGACTTCTTGTCCATCAGACATTTCCCTTTATTTACATGCTTCTCTGAATCCTTCTATGTAGTAGTTATGATCAAATGTGTGAAACTGCCCAGGTTTCTCCCAGAAAGCTGCCAGCCAACTGCCACCATCCAGCACTTCTCCTGTATCCTTTGCCTGACTCCATGCAGATCTGAAGCCCATCGCAGATGGCCTGTGTGCACACCATCCACATCTGTACACACGCCCAGCCTCAGGTTCCCCTGAGCTCTGAAATTCAGTGGCACATGGATTGTGTGATCTGGATGAGCAGTGGACAGGCAGACCACTGTCCTGTCCATGGACACTTGGAACCAAAGGCTTCCAGTGGTGATAGAAGAACCTACGTTCTTCTCATTCCCGTCTCCTTAACCTAAAGCCTCTTTTCTACCTCTATAATTCAAGCAGCTTCAAAAGGTCTGATGTGCAGAAGGTGGTCTCAGGGTTGCTCCAGGGACTTGTGGCTGGACACATCCCTTAAATTGACCTTGCATGGAGGAGGAAGGATGAAATTGTACTGTTAGCAATGCGCAAGAGCTGAGAGAGAAACAGGGAGCAGGAGAGATGTGTCCCTGAAAGGGAAACATTTCTACTCTTTCTTCATCCCCACGTTGCCCTGATTTTAAGGCTTGCGGAGCTGCTAGAACCACAACAAATCAGTTGTCCCATAAAGCTCATCAAATTGGGACAATCCAAGGCTGGATCAACTTAGGGAGCTGCTCTGGCCAAGTCACGTTGATGGTGTGAGTAATAGAATCATAGAATCATAGAATGGCTTGGGTTGGAAAGGACCTCAAGGAATGATGGATTCTCGTGATGGACAGTCAGTGCTCAGATCATGGTTCCATGGTGGTGGCTTTCTTAAGCTTCAGCTACATCTGTTACTGCAGAAATGGGCATGGAGATCCTCTTGGACCTTACGTTCATGACCTTTTGCTGGATTTATTCTTTTGGTGGTATTTGCAGAATGCATTTCCTACAGGTGCTTTTCACAGAACCACAGGGTTGGAAGGGACCTCAAGGATCATGAAGCCCCAACCCCCTGCCACACACAGGGCCACCAACCTCCCCATTTCATACCAGCCCAGGCTGCCCAGGGCCCCATCCAACCTGGCCTTGAACACCTCCAGGGATGGACAGAGCATCCACAGCCTCTCTGGGCAGCTGTTCCAGCACCTCACTGCTTTCTGTAAAGAATTTCCCCCTCACATCCAACCTGAATCTCCCCTCCCTCAACTTCAAACCATTTCCCCTCGTCCTCTTCTTCAAGTCTCTCCAACCAGCTATAAACCCTCTGTGAAGTTTGTTTGAGCTAAACAGCTGCCAGCAGTGACACCTTAAACTGCCGTGGCTGTTTCCAGAGTAAACATTGAAACTGCTCCTTTAATTATGTCAATCAAACAACAAAAAAAAATCCCCAAACATCATTCCATTTGCATCTGCTGCCTCCCCTGGAGCAGGCACTGGTCCATTGCTGGAACAGGAGATTCTCTTCAACATAGACATAGAACAGTGGTGGTCTGGGTGGACAGGATGGCAGCCACAGCCCCTGGTCCATGGAGGAGCCAGCTTTCCCCAAATGACCCCAAATGAGTGCTCCAAACCATTCTGCACGTAGCAGTAGGGCTGTCTGAAGCAAGACGTGGTGCTGGCATTGGAGGTTGTGAGCAGAGCACGGACTTGGCATGCACCATGTGGGGTTTGACAGCCACTCCCGTGTTATGTTCATGTCTCATGGGCCATTTGAGTCCTGGATGCTTTGGGTTATCCCAAGCTTCAGCCCCCTGTGCTTTCCTTACCCCGCTGGCATCCGCGGCGTCTTGCAATGTATGTATTAGCTTTGAACCTGTTTACACCAAACACTGCAGGAACCCCACAGAATCTGTCAGCTGGGAGACTTTGGTTAACTCCTGTCATATTTAGTTTAGCATCTGACACCTCCTCCTAGACAAATACAGCTCTGGTTCACTGAACCCGATAACTCCTTTTTAGTACAGCGACTGACTTCCATATGGAATAAATTACAGTACCTCTTGAAAAACGCCAGAGGCAGCTGCCAAATTATGCAAAATTTAAACCACTAATGAACAATGTGATGAAAGTTGAATGAAGGTGTATTTACAAGATCTACAACACGCTGTCTCTGCGGAGCAGATGTACTGTCTGTACAAGCATGCGTGTGGCTGTGTGTGTACCTACACGTACGTGCACACTCATGCATACTGAAATGCTACCCGTGAGGTTGAGCTAGTTTAGGCATCTCCTTCCGTGTGCTACCTTGGAGCAATGAGCCAGAAGTTGCCCGGTGTGGTGCTGCTTGTTTCTATCCACCAGGCACATTTTGTGAAAGCAAATTGTGGAAGGAATAAGAATGAGGGGACTTGGAAAGGGGCTGAAGAGTCGTGGAGTCATAGAATGGCCTTGGGTTGGAAGGGGTTTCATCTCATTGCAACACCTTGCTGTGGGCAGGAGTGAACCTTAAGGAAAAAAAAAAAAGAAGAAAGAAAGGGAGGAGGGTTAGGGTTGCAAAAATACCCATTTTATTCCATCCAAAGGCAAATGCATAAACACTGATTGCTTATGCTGGTCACTAGAGAGGCAGTGTTGGTGTCAATAACTTGGCATCTGAAACAGGAACGATAGATGATATGAAATCATGGAATCATTGAGGATGGAGAAGCCCAACCCATCCCCACCATGCCTGTAACCACGTCCCTCAGTGCCACATCTCCTTGGTTCTGGAACATCTCCAGGGACAGTGGCTCCTCCACTCCCTGGGCAACTGTGCCAGACCCTGACCACTCTTTCAGAGGATGTTATCATCTTCCAACATGACACCTTCTCTTGACGTGGGCTTTTCATCCCTTTGTTGTTCAGTCTGAGTGCCAATAAGGTTTAGTTCACCAGAGCTTTGCCACTTGTGGCTTGTGCATATGACAGCGTATAGAACTACTGTTCCTGTGGAGGAATAGCTTCATGTTGTGCTTCTGCAGAATTCAGAGAAGACAAGCTCTTCTGAATATAGCAGTCTGCTTTAGAAGATGCCAATGGCAAAGCTGGGCCATCAGGATCTGGAGGTTCAGACCTCCTCGAGACAGAGGACAGCACTGTAAACTAATGAATTCTTCAACAGATAGTGACTCATTACATTTTTTTTTTAACCTGCTGTAATATAATACTCTGCAATGAAGCCATTAGGAAGTATAGAATCATAAAGTCATCAAAGTTGGAGAAGACCTCCAAGACCGTCCGGTCCAGCTGTCCACCTACCACCAATATTGCCCCACTGACCATGTCCCTCAGTACAGAATCTAAACATTTCTTGAGCACCTCCAGGGACCAAAGTCTAATCATCCACTTCCAATGGGGAAGCTAATGGGTGAAAAAAGGGTTTTGATTGCATTTGACAGCATTTGACAGCTAACAAAGTGCAGCGTGCAGTATTTAACTTAAAGTTCTTTGGAGATCCGTGTCGAGAGCAGAGCTCCTGGGGACAGAAGAAAAGTGACCTCTTAACTGATTATGAGTCATTTATTCTGAACTACACAAATTTTAGAATCTGAATCCCAATTAAGACATTACACTGCATGTGTTAATTGGTCCCTCTCCTTTCTAAATCAAGCCATAACTCTTCTTAATTAGGAGGTTAGCCCTTGTAATTTGAACTGGCCTGAGTCTGAAGCACTCGTGGAAGTCACACCTAGGGGCTGTACTGGGGATCATTTTAAATTGGTTGGATTTTTACATGGGTGATTATAAGGTCCCCAACAGGGCAGTAATTGAAGAGGGTGCAACTTCCAAATGAAGGTGTCAGGGTGGTGCAGGTGATGTCTGGGCTCTGAGCTGTGCTCCAGGAGGCTCCAAGGAGGCTGACCCGATTTGCACCACGAGAGCCCTCATGGAGCACAGCAACTCAAGCAGCAGAGTAAGTCACTTCCAACAGTGCATCCCAGGGACAGGTTATCACAGCTCATTGCTGGCAGTTCTCAGATGTCTCATTTATGGCACCCAGTGAGTGCTGGTGGCATGAGGCAGGGAGCAGAAGCTTCTTCTCGTCAGACAAACACTTACTGGCTTTGCTTAGGTCACGTTCTATGCCAAACAAAGTAGCTGAGTATTGGAAAAGAGAAGCCTGTCTTTCACAGCACAAATCAATAGGATCAGTTGTGTCTCCATGGCTTATCAGCGAGGAGCTGAGACGTTTGAGGAGCTCTGGATCCCATTTGTCTTCCGTATTACGCATTTCCCTCCTTACTACACCAGTTCTCAAGGCAGCTTTCAGCAAGGATTGCTAACAAAGGGCGGAGAGTCTGAGTGTGCAGACACACAGACAGCATTCAGCAGGGTAACGAGTTCCCACACATCAGCTGCTCTGTTGTCATTCATCAGGTGCCTGCTTGCAGCCTGCAGTAAACACGGGGCAGGCGGGGGTTGAGGTAAGCTGTTATCTTGCATGGGCTGCACTGAGAGATGCACCTGCAAAATAACCCAGGCTTTACCCCAGGCTGACGGCGTGCCCCGATGTGGGAAATGTTGCCTGACGTGTTTTTGTGCTGCCATCCCAGCAGAAAGGCATTGACCTGCAGGTTTCTGCCCACGTTTGATGCCCTCATCAGCATCCACAAGATGGTCAGAGTGGGGATGGACGTTGGGTCTAAGGAACAAAGGCCAGAGCTAGCAACTGTGGCTGCCTCTCCATGTTGCTAAAATGCTCCGAATGCTCAAACAAAAATCACCACCAATTTGCTGTCTCAGTTCCATTTGTTTTGGATTGGTAGGAAGAAGTTGAATGCCCGCAGTTTGGGTGCAGCTAGCTTCAGAACAAATCCCTACTGAATTATATGTGACACCCTTGGTGTCTGTGAACCATCTGAGATCCCGTATCCCTAAATATACACCAATTGCCATCTTCTATTAGCAAGGTCTTGTTCCTGACTTTCAGTGTTAATTGCATCAGAAGGGTCACTTAATGGGTCATTATCAGAGCCTGACCTCGCAGTATCTTTACACGTTTGCTCTTAACAACTCCTGAACTGGTGGATACCCCCCGAGGACAGCTAGTGTTAAAGCATCCTTATCACCCACTCTGCAGATGTTTCATTTTTAGCAAATTAAGGTATTGTCAACTTTACTACTTTATTACCACGTTAACAAAGTCGTATGGCTTTTGCAGTACGGCTGTGTGATACGGCTGACAGTGTTCACAGTGTCTCTCAGGAGTCTGATTTCCTTCTGCTCACCCAACAGTCTGCAAAGTCTTAAAGCAAGCAATGCCTGCCCATGGCCAGATCACCTTGGGTGCAGCTGACACCACTGTGGGATGCTTTAAAATGGGAGAAACGTGTGAACTGATCCTGTTTTAAGTCCCTGGAGGTGCTCCAGAACCATGGAGATGTGGCACTGAGGGCCATTGGGCATGGTGGGATGGGTTGGGATTGGGCCTGGGGATCCTGGAGGTCTTTTCCAACCTGAATGATTCTTTGATTCTATGACATCTTCTAGGATCTTCTGTGGGTGAGCTTGAACTTGCTCTCTCCAGCTTGGAGGACCCACTAAGAGCAACCTGCGCCACCTGTGGAGGAGAACAGCGGGTCTGGTTGAACGCCATGTGGATGATGGCATGAACTAATTTATCTGCAAGATGGTTTAAACAGAACCTTTTCTTTCCAGGACATCGCTCCTGAGGTCCCGTCCCCGGATGGTTCTCCCAGTCCAAAGCCTTGTGTGCCTCGCTGCCTTTGGCCTGGCCCTTCCCTTGGCCATCAGTCTCTTCCCACAGATGTCCGAGGTCAGTGCGCTGCTTCCTGCAGTGGGTTGTCTCACATTGTCTTATCAGTGCTGTGGCTTGTTTTGCTCTCCTGGGCAATCTGTCAATGTAAGTTCTGTTTGTTTCAAAAACTGATTTGAACAAAACCAGTCTCTACTGGTCAATTCTGTTGTACTGGTATTGGTCTCTACTGGTTAATTCCATTTTTTTTTTGGTCTGGATGGGTTTATGCCCAACTTCTAGCCAGGGAATCTCGCTGTACACTTGTCTGCAAGGCTGAAAAACACATTACAAATTTTCTGTTGTTCTTCTAGCTGTTTACAGACGGAGATGAAACTGTCCCTTAATTTTCTGTTTAAGAAACAGAATATATCTCAATCTTGGAGCCTCTTGCTAAAAGACGTGTTTTCTGATGCTTTAATGATTCATGTGGCTCTTTCTTAAACTTCTTCTAATTAGTCAACATCCTTTTTGGAGCATTTCCACGAGAACCAGACGTGGTATTCCAGTAAGAAGTTGCACAAGTACCAGTTACAGGGCTGTGTGATTTGCTTGCTTGTGCTTGAGTTCATACATCCACAGCACGCGTTAGTCATTTTGGCATGAGTTCAGCTCTAATTCCCTGTCCATCAGTTGTCTGCTGTGATCCCAAGTTCTGCTCAGTGGTTTTCATTATGAAGGACTGAGGGCTCTTTCCAGGTCCAGCAACTTTTGGAGGAACACATCCATAGTTCCCCTTGAGCACCATGTTATGTTCCTGGATCCAGGGAAAGGAGCTTCATCCACAAGAAGGTAGCATTGGACTTTCCTGAAAGCCCTTCTTTGAGAAAACCAAAGAGGCAGGACCATAGGAGGTGGTCATTGAGCCCAGAAGCAACCCAGAAGTAACGTGGCCATTCATCCCCCAAAATGATGTCCCATGCATTCATTGCTTCCGGAGGCAACTTCAGGTTTGACCATCACACAATACACACCAACTTCCTTTCTGCAGTTCCCCATGCAAGTTAGAGGTCTCTGTATCTTAGTCTCACAATTATTTACCACTTTCTCAGAATCTGTGTCTTCTCAAACCATTAGCAGCACTCTTTGTTATTTTCTCCCTCCTCACTGATGACACACGTGTTTAAAAACTTTGGCCAAACCAAATCATTCTTTCAAACACAGACAAGAAACTGACCCTAAAATTCTGTATGATTTAGCACATTTTCAGTGTTTTCATTATATTCATTATCTCAGTTCTTTATGTAAAAATGAAGCTCACAAGGTCCTTTTGCATTTTGTACTGAGCTTTATGAGTGACTGATAGTCTATATCACGTCGCCATCTGATCTTGTGGCTTGGAGAAGGGTGTTGATGCTAACAGCTATATGAATCCTAGCCCACAGGAAAAATAAAGGATATACAAATTACAGACATCAGGCAATACCGAAAACCATACAGCATCACTTGAAAATGACCTTCTAAAAGCAGATGAAATGTTATCTGCAGTGTAAACATGAGTCAGTGCTGATTAGTAGATCAAACAGAATGACGTGCTCCCTGCCCACACGTCATGTCAGTGAACAGAAACCACTACAGCTGGTGGTGCAGCTCCTCACCTGCTGGGGTCTTGTCCTTGCTCAGCTGGAGCTGTGTGCACGCAGCTGGACCTCAGATCTTTTCACTCCACGAAATCAGGTTTTCCAAAGCAGCCTTTGTCTGATCCGTCTTCCTGTTAGGTTTGCATCACTATAAATGTGTGTGAAAATGTGTAAGGGCATTCCTCACTGACATATCCCCAGTGGTCAGCAACTCTGAGGTGCTCCAGTGATCAGAGTCAGTGACATGGAATCACAGAATATTCCAAGTTGAAAAAGACCCCTAAGGATCATCGTGTCTGACCCGTGGCTCCACATGGGACCACCTGATGACTTATCTAATACAGTCCTTCCAGAACCATTGGGTGTTTGAGCATTGACCTCTCGGGGTGTGTATGGACATCAGTACATATGTCTTCATGTGTGTATTTGCTTTTCTTTATAAGTGCAGCAGGTGAAGCAGCTGTGAGTACAGCACAACCAAGATGATGCTGTTGTGATGAGCTCTGCTCAGCGAGTAAATTATTAATGACAAGATGCAATAGGTGTTTTCTGTTCCAAAAATATGATTGTGGTCTGAGCAGCAAGCCTTTCAGGAATTGTGAATGGGCCAAATTCTGCCCTTAATCACTCACACACAGTCCGTTTTCTTTAGTCAGAGGGCAAACACAGAAGCTGATGTGTTATCAAGTTCTTGTTTTAGCATGGGAGCTTGACTGGCTACATTGGATCCTCTCTATTCAGAGCATGTTTCGAACTTGGGGTGAGTTTGCAAGCAGAATTAAGTATCCTTGTGATAGATTGAATGTATGTCCCATATGAATGCAGGATTATTATCAAGTGTCAACTAAATGCCCCTTCCCTGCTTGCCAAATACCTGCCAACCTCAGAGCACCGTGGTCATGCTCTGCTCGCATGACCTGGCATTGAATGAGTGGTCTTCCCAGCTTTGATTCTGATTTACAGCAAAGTACCTCAGCTGTGGCTCCTGTTTTAGAGGAGCATAAGAGAAATCAAGGTTTATCCCTGATTGCATACAGGAGCATCAGTATCACCTAAATGAAAATTCTGAAGCTGAACAGCCTTCGCATGCTGGGAAAAAGAATACATCCAGACCTTCTCATGGGCCTAGCTAATACCTCCAGTCATCCTTGATTTCGTACAGATGGAATCCCCTTTGCTGGCATGCCAGAATTAGAGCTTTTTTTCTAGGTCTTACGGTGCTGAAGATCACCTTGTAAAAATAAAACTTCAGTGTGAGCCACGAAGGCATGGGTCCTTGAGACGGAGCACGCTTAAGACACTCAGAAACATGCTTTTATCCCAGCATGGTGTTAACTCCAGCACCTAAACGCATCAATATGCATTAAATAACTCACTGCTGTTAAGTTTGGGAGAATCATCTAGTTAATGCATTTAGCCCACAACCTTGAACTGCCTCCCATGCCCCCCGGGGAATCTCTCTTCTAGCCGCCTATCCTACAGCATCCCCACTGACAACTCCTACTCAGCTATGCACTGCCAATAGAAACAGCTGTGACAGTTCCAAACTGAAAATGGGACTTGTGCAAATGAAATTCAGTGTAGCAGCAAAAGAAATAACCATGGGGTTGCTCCGCTGATTTTCCTCCCTTTGGTCCCTGCTCATCCAGATCATTCATTTTTCGGCATCCAAGAGGAGCTTCCAAGGGGCTGCAAAGGTTACCTTGCCCCGTGCCAAGTGTCATGGTGATAAAAGAAGGATAAAGCCAGGTGAGAGGTGGAGCTCAGACAAGAGCAGATGGAAGAGAAGCCCTTCCACTGGCCATCACACACGTGCCCTCACCACAGGTTGAGTTTAAAGGGTCTTGGTAGCCAGTTGGGGCAAAACGAGCCATCTTCTGGAATGAGGCTGATTGCAGCTGAAGGCCTTTTCTTAAAAATAATCTTCCTTTTGGATCTCCAGGACAAGGGGAATAAACAGCCTAAAATCCAAGGCTGAGCTATTGTTTTCCAATCTGTTTTAGCCTTCATCTTGTTGGCAGGCTGCTTTAGAAAAGCAAAAGGTTAATGAGCCAATGTGCAGTGGGATTATTGCAGTAAAGATGACAGTGAACCAGTAATTACTAATTAGATGCAGTTTAACAGGAGGAACAAGTGAAATCTCCTCTTCACCAACTGTCAATAATTAGCAGATTTGGTGAGGTTGAAATGTGTCCACAGTTAAAAGGCTGATTTTTTAATGAAATGGCACTTGACAAAAGAGCTGTATGGAGGTCACAGCCATAGCCCTCGAGACGCTTCCCTATACCATACTTAGGAGGGAAATCAGATGCAAGACAGCAGGGGGTCCCCATGAAACCATTTCTCCCTTGGGATTGCATCGCATGGGGGGAGGGGAGCAAGAGGGATTCTCTGCAGTAATTTTGTCCAACTTGGATGAGAAGCAAAGGAAAGGATTTGCCAGCTGCCATGGGGAAAATTGTTTGAGAAGTGAGAAGTTCTGTGGTATTTCTTTGCTTTTGGGTTTGAGGAATGGTTTTTGGAGAGCCTGGTAACGTCAGTGTGTTGGTCAAAGTCTACCCTTGGGGTAGAGGTTGACCTTGAAAGGAAGTCTGCTTAGTAAAGAAGAAATGGCACGAGGTTCTGAAGGACTGGCAGGAGGCTGGAAGCTCAGCTGTATGTGGCTGCCAAGGACTGAAGAAGATTCAAGCCATACCCTGAGGTTTTGGCTTCCTACTGACACACAGATGATGCTCCTTCATTGACTTAAGAGGTTCTTTTGAGGTTTCTTCCCTATGTACTGTTTCTGTTAGGGCAAAGTAACTAGTGACATAGACAACAGTTTCTGTCTTTTCCTTGTGAACTAAAAACGTAGAGGTGATTCTTGTGAGCCCATTAATGCCCATTACTTAAGCAGAACCCCCCAGGCTTTACATGGCACTACATGGTTTAAAGCTGATGAGGCTGGAGACTAATTTAAACACATTTAGAAATGTGTTGAGCCTTGTTCTGGCCCACAGATGAAGGGTGATGCTTAATAGGGTGTGCACCAAGTGCTCTTCGATGAGGATGGCCTCGTATCTGTCAGGTTGGAGGGCAAATGAGTGATGCCTTTCACACAAAGGGCAACTGGAAGGGGAAAGTGTTGGCAGAGGAGGTGATGCTTGGGAAGCAGCAGGACGACACTGCCATGACTGCACACGACTGGAAATGATTGCACAGAACTCAAATGTAGGTTGCTAGGTTGTCTTTTAAAATAAATAACAGCCCACAGAAGTCATAAACTAACTACATCTCTACCTGTAAACCCAGCACAAGCTGGGTTACTGGCCCAGCCTTATTGATAGAATCATTAAGGTTGGAAAAGACCTCTGAGGTCATCAAGTCCAACCACCTACCCATCATCACCACCATGCCCACTGTTAGCCCTTGTGGATATACCTGTTGTTCCCCGAGCCTCGG